GGCTGGGCCCACATCTCCCGGGGTAGGTCCCCTGGGTCCCAGGGATGTGGGCGTGGGTGAGGACAGATGATGCACGGACAGATGCATGGAGTAGAGAAAGAAGCAAGCAGGCCAGGTTGGCCACTGTTGCTCTCACCTGTCAGGCGCTCACCTGATCTACAGGCTAGATCCACGTCTTTCTCAAAGTCAGTCTGCAAGACAGAGACAGCAGGGTGGGGTGAGGGCCGCCCAGCAGGTGGGGGGGGTGCCTGCAGGGTGGAGGGGAGGGGGCCACGCTGGGGCCAGGGTGCCCTCAGAGCGGGGTGTGTATGCGTGCATGCTTGGGGAGGGGGATGCCTGTGTGCCACAGAGAAGCCCATCCACATCCATGGTCCACATGCACATGTGGGCGGCTATGTTTCTGGATGCTCTCACCTGGGTGAGTTTGCGAGTGTGCATGTATGTGTTTGTGTTTCTGCATATAAGTATGTTTATACAGGTTTGTTTGTGGATTTGTGTGTAAGAATATGTGCGTCTGAGTGTGTCTGAGTATGTATGATGTATGTTTATGAATGTGTCTGTGTATGTTTGTGTGTATGAATGTATCCATATGAATGTATGTCATGAGTATGAGAGCACATGTGTTTGAGTGCTGGTGTGCCGGTATGTGTGAGCGTCTGTGTGCCTGTGGACGTGTATGTGTCTATGTGTGCATGTGATGGTGTGTATGCATGTGTATGAGCGTGCCTGTTTGTGTGCGCAGCACACGCGTGTTCTCCCTCCAAGGCATCTGTGGAGCAGCTGACCTCCCGCGCCCCTCCCTGGCCTCAGTCTCCCCCCACAAGTCTCAGGAGCAGCTCTCAGGCCCGTGGCACCGGAACTCCTCTCCTCTATCCCCCCATTCTTGCAAGGAGGCCCCACATCAGGGCCAGCTGCTGTCACGAGTTTGTGAGGCCAGGGCTGGCACCAGGCCCCTCAAGCTGCTCATCGCCACTGACCCCTGCTGCCCCACCCCAGGCCGGCAGCCAAGGAGGCAGGAGCGTGTGACACAGGCCTGCCCTGAGGTAGCTCATCTAGGCCTGGGAAAGTCCTTCTCCAGGGGAGGAAAGGGGTTCCAGGAAACAGACCAGCACCTCATCTCAAACCTGGAGGCTCCTTCCCTGCAAACACCAGAAGCTGGTTGGCTGGAGACGATAAGCTCTTCTCCCTGGGGTCAGAGGTCAGCCCAGAAGAAGTCCCAGGGGAGGAGTAAGCTGTGTCCCCAAGTGATAAACTATCCCCTGGGGCCTGCCTGGACTCCACTCATGAACTAAGGTCTCCTCTCCCCGCGGGATCTTGCTCTCACCCAGGGACTAGATGCTGGCATCTGCTGAGGCCCTGTCTGTGATCCTCATGACCACTGGGAGGTAGCCAGGTGCCCTGGAGCACCTCCTGTGTGCCAGGCTCACTGTGCACCAGCAGGTGGCAAACTCCAAATGGCGGTGCGGAAAATTTACCCAGGGCACGGCCAGGGCCTGAACAAATGGCCTAGGGGAGCAGGGGGTCAGGGAGGGTGCCCTGGAGGAGGTGACCAGCAGTTGTAGGCAGGGGGTACAGGTGCATGTGATGCCAGACAGGCAGGAAAACAGCCCAACATGTGAAGGGCCTGGCTCAAGACAAGGCCAGGACACATAGCCACAGGGTCCTTAGGGCCTAGAATGTGGAGGAAAGGGTTTGGTTCCATCCTGCATGTGAACTCCCAGATGCAGTTTCAGAGCCAAGCCAAGAGGACCAGTGAGGGGGTGGGCACAGATCTGGTGACTGGGGGTGGGAGGCAGTACACACCCTCCCCTCACAGGGCCTAGCTGGGGTCATCACAGGGCAGTGGGGAGGAAGCTGCTGAGGTCATGATGAGGAGAGTTTCTGGGTCCACAGGGAGCTGTGACAGGCACTACATGCTGGATCTGGCACTCAGGGCTCCCAGACTGCAGCCCTCATGGCAGGTCTGTGTGCGGTCCTGGGTGTGATGCACTCTAAGGCAGGCAGACCACATGCACAGCAAGAAGGGCAGGAAGAGGATGTGGCCAAAGATACCAGGTGGGCAACAGGGGACGTAGAAAGCCCAGCAAGGGAGGCATGGCCAGTGGCAGGTGGGGGGAAGGATGGGCAGCACATCAGTCACCTAGAGGGCCTGGAGGAATACTGGGAGGCAGTGGGTGGGGCGGGGCTAAATGTGGCGGTGACGGGCTGGGTCTGGTTCCCCAGGTGGAGGCCGAGGAAGGCCTGGCCTGGGCTGAGATCCAGAGCTGTGAGGGTGGACCTGGAAGACGGGAGGGCAGCTGAGGCGAGGGCTGGGATGTCAGAGGTGGCATTACCCAGAGGGGCACCACTACCACCAAGGGGGGTGGGCACCAGCCTCTGCCCAAACCCCTTGCTGGCCCAGCCATTCCCAGCTAGAAATCCCAGACTAGGGGCTTCACCTTGGCAAGCCTCAGTTTCCCCAACTGCAAATCGGGTCCCAGAGTTCCTCGTAACAGGCTGTTGAACCTGGTAACACTCCGGGCACAGAGAGGGCCTAGAGGCACTCCGTGAGGGGCGCCAGGCAGGTGGGGCAGCCTGCATTTCTCTGCTCCGAGTCCTACCATGAGCTGGGCGTGGCCGTTCTGGAAGGAGCCCCCTGAGTCCCCGTTGCCTTCTTCCTGCCGGTCAACCACACGGCATTTCACAGCATCCTGGACCTGGGGAGGGAGAGCAGAGACTGTCAGTGGGCAGCCACACTCCTGCCTGGTGGGGGATGGTGAACCCACCCAGAGCAGCATCTGGGAGGGGGCACCATGGAGAAGGTGCAGGGGTCCCGCAGGAGTGGGGGCTCCCCTCACAGGACCACTGCTCGCCTGCACAGTCATGACCCACGAGGTGGAAAAGGGGCAGTGACACCCCAGCAGGGAAGAGCCCGCCCTTCTCCTCTCTGAGGTCCTCTCAGTGCCAGTTTGTAGTATGAAAACTAAAACACGTGGCGGCCCAGCTGCTGAGAGCGGCCAACCCTCCTGGACAGAGTGCACCGGTAAGAGCCGCTGTCTGGGCTGGGCTCGGTAGCTCAGCCTGTAATCCCAGCACTTTGGGAAGCCGAGGTGAGTGGATTGCCTGAGCCCGCGGTTTGAGACCCACCCGGGCAACTTGGGGAGACCTCATCTCTACAGTAAATCAAAAAATTAGCTGGGCGTGATAGCGCACACCTGTAGTTCCAGCTACTTGGAAGGCTGAGGTGGAAGGATCACCAGAGCCCACCAGGTCGAGGCTG